GGATGTGGGTGAGTGAGGTATGAGTTCACCAAGTGGGGTGATTGTTTGAGGAGGGGAGGGAGAAGTGAAGTGGGTCTGAAGTTGGTGAGCGAGTGGTGACTGTAGTGGTTGAATGAGATATTGATGAAATGGGAAGAGAAGTTGCGGTGGGGAGGGGTAAGGGGGAAGGTGAGGCGAGGGACGTGACAGGGAGAGGTGCGGGGTGAAATTGAGGTGGAATCCGGTGGGGGAAGATAAGGGAAGCAGATGAGATGAGATGGGGAGAGTTCCCCCAGATGAGGTTTAAAGTGCAAGAGGGGTGAGGTGGAGAGATGTGAGCCAAAGTGTGATGAGGTGGGGAAGGGTGGGGGTGGAATGAGCAGGATGAAGTGAAGTGAGATGGGCAGGGGCTTGTGCGGCTGGTCGAGCAGGCATCGGCGGGCGGGACGCACGCTCCGCACCCGTGGGCGTGGGCGTGGGCGTGGGCGAGCGCGGGCGGGGGCGCGTGGTGGCGGCGGCGCAGCGTGTGGTTGAGCGTGCGCACGCGCCGCTTCACGGCCTCCGCCTGGTGGCGCGGCAGCGAGCGTAGCGCGGGCTCCAGCTCGGCGTCCGCCACCTCGCGGCCCTCAGCGAAGGCCTCGGACAGCTGCGGCAGCCCCGCCTCCACCAGCCACTCCGCCTCCTGCTCGCCCTCTGCAACACGCGCACACACCATTTGCAATTTTCAAAAATTCAGAGAGATCAGCGAAAATTGAGACGAGAACCCCTTTTTACAGTTCGTACCTACATACGAGGGAAAAAATAAGGAGAAAATTTGGAGCCGATTTTGAGAATATTGTTTAAAAATTGTCTACGTTGCACCCAAAATTACTCAAAACGGCACATTTTCGAAAATTTGTTCATGACCTTATTTCACGATCCGTCTTTAAGCAACATATTTCATTAAGAAAAAGCCAATCTTCAATATTAGAGTTAAAGGAAGATATCGAAAATAATGAACATTTTTCAAAAATTGGGGATTTCAACGAAAAAAAGCCTCTTTTTAAAGATTCTTTTACGTTATACGAGGGCAAAGTAAAATAAAGAAATCGGTAGCATTTGTGAGAATTTTTTTGAAAATGTCAAGGTTTCTTGTAAATTAACACCTCCCTCCATCAAAATATCCATTCCAAACTTGTAAGGCCTCGAGTTCGTTTACGTATATCGATGAATAGAGATGAGAAAAACAGGTTCAACGGATAAAGTGCTAGCATTGACCACGGACAGACTGACGTTTTGCCGTCAATCGACATTTCATTGTTAAGGGCACACCGAACACGGATTCTGACTACACAACGTGCGAGAAGAAGTAATTTACTACATGTAAGAACATTATTTATCCACTTCATCACCAGGGCTAAGCAAGAAGAGTTTTTCTATCGAAAAATCGCAGTTTTCTCTCGCAGAATTACAATACTTTCTCTACGCTACGTAAGCAGTACGCGAGAAAGCAAAATAAATAAAATTATGAAATAATAGTGTCAATAAAATAAATATTGAAATGAAGGTTCGCTGACATCAAGGCCAAAATCCCAAGTGATTAAAACTGCTTGGTGGACCTATACGCCTTTGGGTTACAGAAGGAGTACCGCCCACGAGATTCACGCACGTTTCTATTGTGCCACGAATAGTTCCGTGGCCTTGCTCCGTAATTTCTGAATAAACATGCTTGTTATAACGCGTATCCTCTCTCGAGGAGCAAATAGAAGCCTCATCCTGTTCAGGCCGCTTCGACCGCCGTGCAGCGCGTCTATCTACTGCCCTCCCTTTCCATCACCCGGAGAAGCCCGCGGGCCCGTACGCTCGGAACGTTCCATCCGATATCGTACGAGGACAAGCCGCGACCGCGCTGCCCTGGCAGCTGAAACCGATTTTCGGGGAGCTAGCTGTGGCTCAAAGGTCCGTACTGAGTGCAATCTGGCCCATCCTCCCCCCCCCCATTTACTAATCAGTGTTGTTGTGTTTTTGTTCAAACTGATCATTGTTTCAGTAAGGTAGAAAATACGATTAAGTAGAAGACAACTGAAATGAATCATCAAGTTAAAAATTTGTGAGGATGTTTGTGAAGGTGTGTCACTGCTAGAGCAGTGGCACTTCGAAACTACTATAGGAGTTGAACATTCTCCACGTACAAACCTACAAGGTAAAATTCTTTTAATGGCTTTTCTACTCCTTCGCTTTGCGATCCGCTTTGTCTTATGTATCAACGTACTCTTGGAATATTTTCCAAAATCTTACCAATTAAAAAACAAGATTGAAATAGTATTTTGGTTGTATTAAAAACAACGTGATATTTACTACATTCGCACTAATATTAATAGCAATAATAGAAATATTAATAATAATTCGACTGAGCGTTGTGATGATTTAAATCATGTGAGTTATATCAATGATTTGAATCACAGTTTAAATCAAATAATCCACAAACAAATCATCGATTTTAAAATTTATGGTAAATTTTACAAGGAATGATTAAAAATTTACATTATTAAAATTTATTAAAACTTTAAATATTCCCATCATATTTTAAAATTTTTAAAATGAAGGTAAGTCGAAGACCATGACTCGAACGTTGTGAAAAAAATATATAAATCTGATCTGAAAAGAATACGGCAATAAAACTGAAATATTTTAAAATGTGATGTAAACATTTAATGTTTTAATAAATTTTAAAAAATGTTTAAGAAGAATGACTGTTAAAAAATAAACGGACATACATATAAAATGCAATCGTTGTAAACCCTAACAAATTTAATGCGCTAATAATATTTTTCTCATTATTTGCAAAACGTTGCTTTGATGTAAAAAAAGATTTTACAGATCAATGGTTTCCGAGGTAGTTTATAAAAATTCTAGTAAAACCCTCAATATCTTAGGACTAAGTCAACATCGGGTAGCCCCATTCTACTGAGCTCTTCAGTTTTTTGTCTCTTTTTTTCAAATATCTAAAAATTGTACTTAACTTGAATATTTCAATTTAAAAAATCCGATTAAAATAATTTTTTTAAATCATGATTTATATTAACCCTGATTGGACTAGAAAGTGACCAATGACGCGATTAGCGTGGAGAGCGTTGACGACTGAGAACCTGTCGCAAAAGGGGGCGTTGCCCGTCGGTTCATCGCGACTGCCTGGCGGGCTCCCTCGCGAGAATTGCCCCTCGCCCCGCTCGCCGTTCCCAGCGCCTCCCGGGCCCTGGCCTTGCGCGCGAGGCCAAGGCCGAGGTTTATCAGCTCTGTTACGTCACAAACGGACGCGCATACCACCAACCTCCCCTTCAAGGGACGCCGCGATCCCTTCCTGTTCCGCAAGGCACTCCGCAATCTAAACGCCGAAGGTCTCGAATATGACCTAGAAAGTCAAGTTGAGAGATAAGTTTGCTTTTTCACTCGAGTATTTTTAGAGTTAGGGTAGTACTCCCATTTACCGGTTAAAAAGCTGAGTTTGCTATTAAAGAAATTCCTGGAGATGCGTATCACATATTCCCGCTAACTACAGGAGTAATAAATTGAGATAAAAAAAGTATTTCTTTCAATCTCTAAATTATTATTGAACAATTCCAATAGTTCATTGTTCTTAATACAGATTCATCGAGATGCATAATGTTAAACTTTGAAAACAATGTACACAGTATCAGGGCGCAGTTTAACCCCTTTTACATTAATCAAAATTGGAACTAATCATCACCTATTCAAATGAACTAAATATATAGAAAACTTATATATAGAAAGCGTTCTTCTTGTCGAGCACATCGTATAATTTGCACCCGCGATTACATCCTAGCTGATTGTGAGCGAGCCCTATAATTTAACATGTAGCATTCAGAAGGGGCGAAACTCATCCAGTACAAGAACCAAGGTGACTAATAATATTGTAAATGTAAAAAAAAAATTAAAAAAAGAAAGAGAGAGGAAAAAGAAAAAAAGAGAAAGAAAAACAGAAAAAGAAAAAAGGAAACAGAAAACAGAAAAAGAAAAAAGAAGAAGAAGAAAAATGAAAAACGTACCATCACAACTTCTGGAGCTGCTCTCCTCGATCTCGTCGAGGTACTGGTCGAGCGAGTTGGTCTCGCGCAGGAAGTACTCGTTGAGGTACTCCTGGTACTCGTGGCTGACGTCCGTCTCCATGGCGCGCGGCGGTGGCGAGGCGAGGCGAGGCGAGGGCGGCGCGCATCTGGCGGGCCCGCGGGCCCAGGCAGGCTGCACCTCGGCGCCGCCTGCGAGATAAGATAACGCGCTCCGTTACTCAGGGCCCGGCGCCGCGGAGCCGCTCAATTGCGTTGCAATTAGCGATGACAAGAGCGGGCCGCGGCGCGCCTGCACAAATTCCGCTACGGAAGACATGGCCCTTGCAAAGCGCAAAAAACAACAACCAATTTTAACAAATGAATAATCAAGAGTAGATTTAGAAGCGACTTGCCATTAAGTGCAACGGTTTCAATAATTGTAAACACGAATAATTGTGCATAGAGGATTAGTTAATTACAAACTATACCTCGTGTTCTACAATTATTGCAGGTTATTTACGAAGTATTTTTATGAGTGACAAATGATCCTTCGACCTCAATGGTACTGTGACTTGTCGTATCAGGTTGTGTGTACATTGGTGCATAATTCAATTTTTTTTAAAAATCGTATGGACATTAAGAAACAATTCTCTATCATATTCCAAACATTTTCAATTATCAGCATACTTATTTCTTCATAATTGAAAGCACCTGAAGAAATGAAGGTAAAAAAAGGGGTGAATTAATATTTCTGCATTTGTCATAAAAATAAAGCACATTTACTGATGTTAAAACGGGAGAGGAAAAAGTAAGTGCAAGAGAGCAGAAACCTTACAGGAAATGAAAGATAGTAATTTGAAGCCGATCGGCACCCGGGCAAGGAACATTTTCTCGAATTTAATTATTGAACTGCCTATTATGCCAAGAAATAAAATTATAGAAATTAGCAAAAGCAAACTGATCGCGAAACGGTCATTTCCACTGAAACATTTCATGAAAAACTTCCAATATGATCACACAAAATGGGCAGTCATTCCGAATTTATACGATGCATTATTCCTTTGGACGTCATGTTTTGACAGATGATAGGCGAGAACTGTTTATGTTCCAGAAAATAGTGAGTGATTAAACAATAATAAAAAATACAACAATAATAACAAATACAATAATAATTATATAGTAACACAAATTGATCTAGAAAAAACGTCATAAAACGTATTTCTCTAAATCCCGCAAAATTATATTTTGTATACAATACAATGACAGTGCAACCCGCAGTACACCCAAGTGCAGGGAGTTGCTGATTCAGAACAAGCATTCAAACGGACAGTCACGGAATTAAAGCGATGACAGATCTTTTTTCGAACGAATCAGAGAGGAAACTTCTTGTTCAATTGAATGCAGATAATGAATATCCTAAGACGAGAGCACACAATCTGAAACCTGTTTAAGCCTGATATTGAAGACAATGAGAACGCGGTATCATTGCACAAGCCCCCGAGCGAAGCACAGAGACAGCAAGCAAACAGCGAGAACGTTATTCAATTGAACACTAAATAAACATTCAGAATAATGAGGTGTCTCGATCGCTTTTACTGATAAACGAACAATAATTCTATTCATTTAAATTTGAGTAATTATTCATAATTTTTTATAATACTTATTTCGCTCAAATAAAATCAGATTTTCCATCATGTAGTTTGTTATTGTACCATAAATTTTTTGTAAAGCTTTATTTCAACTCAAACTGATTTAAGAGATTTGATCTTCACGTGGACTAGGAATTTCATTGACGAAGGTAAACTAGGGAATCCCCCTGTATTTTGCAATGCATGATCGTCTGGCGGGTTGAGCGTCGGAAACAGGCTCTTTAGATAAATTCGAGAGAGCCGGAAGTAGTTGATTAGCAAGACAACTCTGCGTATATCAACGATAGCACTGGTGACGTCAGTTACTATGGCAATAGACCTGAAGCAACAGATAAGGACAAATGGACAAATTTGGAAACGAAACTAGCGGAGGAAAAACAATATAGATGTTTCCGACAAACAGAAGAAATAAGGTATTTAGAAAACAAAAATGCAAACATGTCGGAATCTTTAATCTGAACCTTCTTAAGTTCCCCGTAATATTGTTCGCTCGTCAATACGTATGACACGTAACGAAACATTCTTCAAAACAGGTTTTTTTAAACAACGAATATTGAAGAAACTCGTAAATGTCCATGAGGTGATCGATCCGACAACATTTCGGTGTGAGCAAAGAAGGTGACTGACATGTTTTAGTTTTCAGTGGTTTCCACAATCAATACCATGCGAATGCCGGAGCAGGTCCCTAAGAACGTGACCACGGACCGCGTGCGATCTTTCCTTCCTCTTCCTTGCTCTGCCCTCACCCCTGACAGACATATCTGCATGCCTTACAGTACCACACATGTCAGGAACTTAGAGCTCGTCTCGGCTGGGGCAGTGCTCCGCTGGGGAGAGATACCAAGAGGGGGAATCTTCCACAGACCGACATGTAGGTCAGCGCTGGATCTTACCACCCTGCGTGGGAGGAACACCCCCACTACCCGAGATAAAACACTAACTACACTGACGGCTCTCTTGGACCTAGCAGTTGACGTATCATAGGCCTGGCCCCCGCGCCGTTGGCCGCCAGCGTGTTATTCAATATTAAAGAATAATATACATAATGATTCCACACAACCTGAACTACGGTTTATTTCAACTCATTCGTACACCTCGTAATATCCGACTCAATACATATTAATACATATACATGGTTGCACCTTGTCAGTGCATTACAGGCCCAACAATATCGGATGCCACCGCCATCGTCTTACGTTCCAGTAATCATCTCAGATTCTTCCGCAACGATTTATTCTTTCAGAACGTGATTCCAGCACCTTCCGCCCATCACAGCGCAGCGGCGTGCGCGAGGTTTGAAGGCGCAACGGCCGTTGCCGCGGCCGCCGCCGCCGCCGCAGACGCCGACTGCATATTTGGGCCGCCGTTGGCAGCGTCTTCGCTTGTTTTCCTGCTTGTCAAGGCCATCGGGCCGCTGCGCCGCGGATTAACGCTCGGAAGGACCCGCGCCGCGCCGCGCCGCGCCGCGCGTCTTGTTTGTCTGGCCGTCGCGTCTTTGCGGCGCTCAGCCGGTTAGCGGAATGAAACAATCACTTCGGATTCAAGCAGGTCTCCACAGTCTCGGGAAATGCAAGAGTTGTTTCGCATTCAAAGCTTTCAAGAGAGGCAAAGGAAATTGATCACCGGAATATTTATAATCCACTTTCACTTAGTTTTTCGCGATTAAAGACTCTACTCAGAATGTAGTATGTAGTACGTTGAGCGTTTCATTTTTACAACACACTATGTATTGTTCGAGAAATATTGTCAAATATGTTATGCTGTTGTGCGAGGTGCATTTATTTATTTATTATGGAAAATAATGTCATTGTGGAAAGTAATCTAGTGATTTGCATCGAATTCAAATTTTCCTGCACTTGAAGCAAAATCGCTCTTCTCAATGTATGCCCCCTCCCTAGGTACAGCTTGTGAACTGCGCTTAGAAATAGGCCAAGCTGCTTTTCAGACTGCGCTTCTTAGACACCGATCAATAAATGTAAATAAAATCATGAGAAGCGATCAATCAGATAGATTGGGAATGTTCAAAAACTCCATAAATACTAGCTTTTCAAAAATCAAAGAGGTGGCGAAAATTGAAACATGACCTTAAAATTTTTATTTTATTCAGAAGATTAAAGGCGCTTTGTAGTGATAAAACATTTCGCCAAAGTACTACTTTGTCGCCTGCGAATGATAATAGTTCTTTATGCAGAAAGGGCTTTAGAAGAGTTCTAATGATCGAGAGGTGACAAAAAGCCCGAAGGTCTTCGGATCATTTAAACCAGTTAATGCCCATGGTACTTACAAAATGTTATTTTTTTCTTAATTTTAATGATTCATATTTACTTATTTTTCTCTAATGATCCCCTTTCATAATTTCCTCCATAAGAGAACATGTAGGATCATTCAAGTTTTTTCACATTTCCCTTCTCAATACGATCCTCTCGATCTAGGTAAGTTATGCAGTGTATATCGATCCCCGTATCGAAGGCACAAATGATGACGTATTAGATTGTATGTCACGAATGATTGCGTCATCACACATTCAGCCAATCGTAGCGAGAGAATCGGGGGCAGGTACAGCTAAAGCAGGTACAGCCGACAACCGTTTACTCGCACGATGTCAAATACCCGAGTAGTCACAGGGAAGTTGTTTCGCAAAATTAAGTTCGATTCTCTTATAAATGTGTAATACTGTTATACAAAAAAATATAGTATGCAACTCGTTTATAATGTTGCTCTTTTACATTCGTACAAATTCGAAAACTCGTTCCTAAAGTTGCTCGTTTTCAAAACATGTACTCATGCAATAAGCTTAACGTTATAAACTAATTGCATAAACTACTATTTAAGGCAGCCAAATTGAGAAACAAAAACCACTCCTCATGAGCGACGCTCGGTAGAGATTTAACAGTCCGGTAAGGACAATCTAAAAAAGTTGTAGCTGAAGTAGGCGTTTGAATTACTTTATTTCTAGACAGTATATTTTTTGTTTTAAATGATGTTTTCTTATAAGAAGGTGTAATTACGGAAAGCATTAAACGATACACGGCCAATAACATAAATAACAAATTTGGTATTTGCTGTTTACAGGCGTAATGATGTAAATAAGTATGAACTGACTTAATCTAAATTACAGTTTTTGTTTTGTGATACAGAGTATTTGAACTTTGTGGTAAGAGTACCTAACACACTCAAAATAAAATATTACTTATGAACGACGAAATTGGGTTACTCGAGAAAGATCGTTCCTTCGTTGCTCGTGGGGTAATTCGTTCCTCTCCTAGAATATACAATGAACCGTCTTGTGTACTGTATAAGCATTTCCGCTTAAGAAGCACTGAATGGTCCGGTTCGGCGCCAGTGGCCGACGGCAGCGGCTCGATGTGGCGATGCAGGTGGCGGCGGTGCTTGATATGATAGCGGCCGCTCCGCACCGTTATCTTGGCAGCTCGGCAGCGCGCCAACCTTCCTCGCCACCCCGCCCCCTGCCCCGCCCCTCCGACCCCCGAAAGACCTTAACGCGCGGCGCATTTCAACTTTATGGGCGTCACCATTACGCGCCTTGGCCTTCGTGTGTTC